CAAGCAAACACTTCGAGTCACGGGAATGCAGCTTGCAGTTTGTCATTTAAATTGGCATTGGGGTGGGGAATGCTGGGGCACGTTGCTCGATTTCAATAAATCTGAAGCGTGTCAGAATTTCCGACTCTCTGATGATTGATGTGGGCGTTGACATAGGCGTGGACTGGAGCGTGGGTGGTGGCGTTACCGCTGACAGTTCACTTACACACACACACCCATACCCACAGAGAGACATAGACACGTGCACACAAACGCGGTCAATTAGTCAAACAGAAATCGTTTTCGGTTCCTACATTTTGGGTGCGTTCGATGCTGCTCCTTCCGAAACCCAACTAATTAAAACACGCTGAGCAAACACACCCCCCGCTGGCAATCCGAGGAGCAGTAACTAGCAGCAGGATGGTATGGTATTGGGGTATGGCGGGTCACGAAATGGTAATCAGCACGTGCCACTAGGATTAGCGAGGTCGAGACACATTTATGCGTTCATTTAGTTTTGCTTATTGATGGCCACGCCCTTGGCATACAGAAATATTTCGGGAATGGAAGGGAAGGTGGCTTCAGTCCACAAAAGCGACTGTGACAAAAATGCCAAAAACAGAAAAGTCAATCCCAAATGAATGCCGGTAAAATGCTGCCAAAAAAGACAATAAATATATTCAAGCTATGCGGATGATTCATTTTAAATTCGCTTGAACCAAAGGTGATTAGAGTGCAGATAATGAACTTGTGTGACAGACAGCCAAGTGAAATTAACTCAGCCACCAGTAGCACCAATCCAATCAGTATTGTTCTTTGCAAATCTTCCTTGAGATGACAGCAATTTTGACATTTTGAGGCCTTACAGATGTCTCGCTGTCTGTATGATCTCATGCGCGTGATTTATTTATAGCTTAAAGTCACTGCGAAATTATTCTAGACCATAAAGCGTGTCCAAATTATTGCCTTAAATTGGTCTCGGGTTGCCATTGGGGACTTTGAACTCGTAAATAACAAACATCTGCATTTTTGGGCGCTCATTAGCAAGCGGAAATATATGTACATTAGTTCGTTAGTTCGCTCCTCTATTAAATGGCACTCGTCGTATAACTTCAATTAAAATTAAACCCGTGCCTGCTTCTCAATTTTGTGGTTTTCTCTAAGCAATTTGAGACTATAATGATGCATCATTTTGGTTAGATATTTGCAGATTAAAGGGGATTAAAAAACTTGAGAGAACCGTGTTTGGAAGCAGGAGAAATACCCGCTCTGAATAGTGACAAAATAAAAAAATACAGAATTGTATCCAGAGTAGAACAAAAAAACCCAACATATGATCTGCATGTGTTTCGGAACGCCAACTTAATGTTGTTTGTTGACGTCATGCCAGTTTTTTTTTTAACTCGCTTCACATGCAAATGCTATCGATTAATCTGTCATTTTAATTATAGGAATTTATTGAAAACGCTTTGATCAAAGTGCCCTCGTTAGCAGTGCCAAGGGGAAAGTGCGAAGCTCTTTCTAGGTTTAATTGATTTTGAACGCTTTTCAAAGAGAGGCTTGAATTGCCAGCCATTACCATGTGACTAGGAGCCATTTAAGCAGATTAATGAACATTTGGCTGTGTATGTTTACACTACAGAAACACAAATTGATTCCAGTTCAAGCATTAAATGGTTCAAGCATTTATACGTCGAAGTTTCGAGCTGTTATTTGTGTGCTTATGTCACTGAATCAACTGGTTTTATGCATCATTCCCACCGTAATGGTATCTGGCATCTAACACTCACTTAAGTGCCAATATGCTAATCCAAACAATAAAGTTCAATATGATCTCAGCTATCATTAAACTATGACGACAATAGCGTAATTTCCCTGATGACTTTATGGACTCAAATTATGCTTGCACCAATAAACACAAGGAGACAGAGGGAAATTGAGTGGGTGACCGCAAAAATCGAGGGAAGCATTTTTCAAACCCCTGCTCGAAGCTCTCAACGCTATACTACACATATACGTATACTCGTACCATATAATCATCATCAGAGGCACGTGTCTGCGGTTTTGACTTTGAGGAATTTGCCGCCTCGCCAGACTACGAACTGACTTCAAACTGTGCTCAGTTTCACAGTGTAATTTGTTGGAATATGGAAATTAAATAGAAACCTGTGTTCGACACTTACATACGTACATGCCACAGAGTAAACAATGGAACTGTAAATACTCCATACCAAAATAGACATTCATTCACGCATTCAGATCCTTGAGTCAAAGAAATGCACTGGCATATCTTAACCACTTGAAATTCGCGGCCAGCTGTTAAGCGATGACTAAGCTTGATGGGAAAACCCAAAGTAAAGATAATCCCAAAGTCTCTGACTGATAACAGAAATTACGAATTTACCGGACAAGAACAAAATGAAAAAAACAAGTACAGAACTAAGAAAACTGGAAAGAATTGTGTAAACAATGGAATGGAAAATGAAAAGTGTAGATTAAAACGGAATAAACAAAACAGAGCGGTGTAAAAATAGGGGCTGTGGGGGATGGGTGTTCCAAACAAAAGATAAACGGGCGCACTGGAAATTCCAGAATGGAAAAATGTAAGGCCGTAAAAAAAGAGCAATACCAAAAGTTTGAACTTGAAATATTTCGTGGGCCAAAAGGGCAACACATGCACACAGCTATGGAAACAACCTACGCATACTCACACATACACACAGAGACACGTGCAGAGCTTTAATTATGTGCGAAACGAAAAGTAGCTGCTGTCTTTATCTTTGAGATACTTTTAACGCACTTTTCGCTCCGCTCTGCTATGCTCGGTGCGGCAGAAAGCGAACTCCTCTCAAAGACACGTTTTGTTTGTTGTTGGCCAAATTATGTGCTCCGTTTTCAGTGGCTGTGGCTATGGCTATGCGGCTCTGTGGCTCTGAGAAACTGCCAACAAAGACAAACAATATGTAGCAGTTCACAAAAACACACAGATACACCCCAACCCCATGCAAACATACGAACATGTCTCTGTATTTTTTTTGTGTTTTGCCAAATTAGCAACAACCGGTTTACGCAGGTACTCTTGGCCCAAAGAGAGACAGAGCAAGAGAGAGAGAGAGTGCGAGTAGCTGTGACAAGCCAAAGGCAAACAAAAGCCGTTTTGCTCATTAGTCGTCTCTGCCGATGGGTCTGAGCGAGAATGCCGCAGCCAAACAATTTTTTGTCGTCATTTTGGTTGATATCAGTGGGAGATGAGATGGTGTGGTGGGATGAGACTGAAGGCCATGAGAGCTTCCGATGTACGAGTCGAGCATAGCTAGCTGCTGACAACAAAACCCACCACTCGAATCCGCCGAAAGACAAATGTACGGGTATTACCGCACCGCCAGAACAGGGAATATGTAGCTGCCAAATGCCAATGCCTGTCGGCAGTGGGGCAACAAGTTAACTATAGCAAGCGGCTTACTTATAAGATGTCCTCTGTCTGGCCCCATCAAAATGTAGGTAAATCTGGGACTGGGACTGGGATTGAGATTGGGCGTGGGGACATTTCCAGTTTAATTTCTGATCCAGTTGGGTGCACTTACTCGAGCCGTGAAACGAGTTAAACTGGCTAAATGGGTTTTTTTTTATCCATCTACGAGTGTGTACGGTGTTGTTCTGATCAATGACAATGGCAACTCCGGTATCTGTAGATACGAATCGTAACTGCTTTCTACAATTGTTAATCTGTTTGCGCCGGGGCAAGCCCTTCATTAAAAGTGTGCTCGTGTTTCTTTATTTTTTGACCCCCAGATGCTCATAGGCTCATTGGCTCCCCATGAGACTTGAACAGGCCTTCAATCAGATGTTTAGTCTCTGGGGATCCACTTGAAATTGGCTTATCTTTATTTTTGTTGGTCACGCCACCATATTAAAGAATTTCGTATTTAACGAAGTTTTTGGAATTCCTGGAAATTGGTTCAATAAATGCTGATTTTAATTTTGCTTGATAATTATTATAATATAATCTGTATATGTTGAATATTTTATTTTTTTGAAATTAATTTCTTTAAATATATTTCTTGAACTCCTTGAATTCATTTTATTTTTGAATGAAAAAGTCGGAGGTTATCTTTTAAAAGTTTTAATACCCGTACTCGAAAACTTAAGGGGCATATTAGATTTGTGCTAAAAGTGGATGTGTGCAACACTGAGAAGGAAACATTGCTGATCCCATAAAGTAGAAAAAAAATGTAAAATATTTTTAAATATTTCTACTTAAATCATAAGCTTACACATTTATATACTGACTGAGTAGGGGTATAAAATTAGAGTTGCGTCCACAGAAGCGACTCACAACTTTCCTTCTCGTTCTTAATAAAATTGAACGATGTATGTATACATATTTCCCCTGTAGAAAATGTCATGTGCAAATAACCATTTAGCTATAATTGTTTCCATTTATTCAAATGTATAGATTTCAATTCGAAAATATGTCCAGTTGTGAATCATGGGGTATATTTATGTACAAGCTACTATTCAGCAAAAAGAAAAATAAACTATTATTAGTCTCGAAAAAATTCTACAAAATCGAAATTTTATGCAAAACAGCAAAAACGAGCAGTAAATAAAAAAAAAATAATGTGAAAAATTTGAGTGTCATGCCACAACAGAGAGGCAGAGCGGGTAACGATAGAGAGAATGAGCAAAAGAGATAGAGAGAAGACATCAACATGGATTAATTGCAGTTTTTATATGGAAATATGTTGCACTGGCAAAAAGCTGCAAGCCGTGTAGAAGGCCAACTGGTCGACAGCCAGCTTTTGTTGTTGTTGTTCTTGCCAGGCCAATAAACCAATTAGGAGCAATGGGCTAAAAGCCCATGATCGCCCATTAAGCAGATTGCGATGAAAGATCCGAAGAGCATGAAAATGCATTGAAAGAGGAGTCACGGACCAAGCAAATGTCGCAGTCGATAAGACCAGCCAGTCCCCGAGTAGTAGCAGTAGTATTACTCGTATCTACTGGGGGATCAGACTTACCTATACTAAAGATACGCGTGTGTATATCTGTCTGCGCGTGCTACGCTCTCTGAAGCTCCCCGCTCTTTGGATCACTGAATCTTCTTTTTTTTTTACTATAAAATTCCAATAGTTTGAACAGTTCTTGTTTACTTTTAACGGTTGTTTTTGTTTTGTTTTTTCCTTTTACTTTCAACAATTAAATCCAATAAATTTCACGTTCAATTGGAGTAAGGCCTATATCGTTTGCCTGCCCGTTTCTTTTTAGCGCGATATATGTATTATGCGTGCTTTTATGTATTCAATCCACCAGTAGCATATGCATGTAGATTGGTATACATACATATGTATTTATGTATAACGTGCCAAGCTCTTTGTTTGTGGTTGTCGTATTTATCGTGCTCACGTTTACTCGTTTTTCGCTTTTTAATTTTCTTTTATTTTATTCTTATTTTACTTTATATTGTTGCTGCCTTTTATGTATTTCTCGGATCTCGGCGTCGAGGCGGTGCTTGCCGACAGATTCTTCAATTGACACTGAACTGATCTCCCTTGCGTAAATCTTTATAAACTGGCCGACATAGTGAGCGAGAGAGCCAACCCAGAGAAAGAGAGGCGGTAGCGGCTGTCAGCGGCTCTTCTTCTCTCTCCCAAAATGCGAGAGCGGAGCTCAGCAATGCATACTGATGTACATATGTACATTTTAATGCAATTTAATCATTGCAAGACTATCAAACATAGCGCAAAGTCTCTTTTGGTACGTCATGATCATCGTCATGGGTGCAATGTCTTTGGCCTTCTCCAGAGAACAACAATTAAAGTTTCCCAGTTTACCACAGTGCGGGCGCTTTGTCCATACCATTCATGGCGAGAGAATGAATCATTTTGGAAAACTGGGAATGCACTTTATGCTCCGGCGACGATGCCCACATAAGGGATGAGTCTGCGTCTGCCTCTGGCAGAGTCAACAGATGGCTCTGGTTCTAATTAGGAGGAGCACGGTTCGATTGCAGTGAGCATTTAGATGCATCTGCAGTGCTCGACTAATTTGCAACGTTTTGAGTCAGACACAGAGCAATGAAGATGCAGCCCACCGAACCAGCCCAGCCCCTTCCTTTAGGCACGAAAAACACACAAATCAGGGCCTTGAAGTGTGTCACGTTTTGCATGAATTTACGGACATGGAAACGGACAGACAATGACGAATGCTAATTGCACTTTGCGCCATCAAAAGGCCATGAAACGGGCGCTGCTCAAACGGTTCTGGAGTTTTCCCATACATTAATGTAAAAAAATCATTAGCATCGTGAAAATGAAGGAGTGTCTGTTCAACGACCAATGAAAACGTAAATGCAAATGAATGAACTTTACTGTTCTGTATAAATGGAACCATTTCAGCAAGAATTTACGATGCCACAAGTACTTACGTAAGCCTCTTCACCAAATATTTCAGATAATTCCTTTGAGCACCCAAAAAGCTTTTAATTTTTCGAATTTATATATTTTTACCCATGCCAAAACCACTTTTAAAAGTATGTAGAACAAAAAAGAAAATTTTGATAATTCCCAGAAGTCTCACGAAATAAAAAATTTTAATTTTGAACAGCATACGAGTATCTAAACGGAATTTGGATTAATGTTTTTATATTGACTTTTTAAGCAAATGAATATTTTTTAAAACACTGTGGAAACCTAATCATTAGCGTAATCAGAACGGAAATCGGTTTCCTAGTTTTAAAAAAGAATGCAACCAAACGCTAATATTTAATAGTTATTCAATATCAGTTAATATTGATCAATTATTGATGGCTTTATTCTATAAGTATAACAATAAAACAACCACAGTCCATATCAACCTATTAACAAACTTGTGGGTTTCAGCTGCATCAGTTGAATGATAGTAAATATAATAGATATAGAAAAAACAATAATTCGAACTAAACTTTAAAATTAAATCAAATAAATTACCAACAAAATTAAGAATAGGTTTCTTTTTAGGTTTGTTTTACAAAAATTACAGAACCCGTAGACAGACGGCTCTACAGCCACTTAAGCAAAGTGCAAAAAAATCATAATAGTTCTACTTGCTCCCGTGGTGGTGCGCGTAGAGGTGGTGGACACGCGAGCGAGAAGTCAACGGTTCTGTTCCCAGCGTCGACAAGGCGACGAGGCGTGTGTTTTGTTCTTGTGTCTGCTTTAAATATAAAAGAAATATATTTTTAATTAGTTTTTCACTCTCGATGCGATCTCATCAAGGCATAATAGTTTGACTTTCCCATAGCCAAACAATTTCCGCATGAATCGCAGATTATTTACATGGTTGATGCGCGTATCTACTGACATTTCCAATCATGAATGACAGTGTTTCGTGCAATTTCCGCACAATATTTATTTTAACACCAGAAATATTAAATTTAATACGATGTTTAAATTAAAATTTTTCCAATTACCATCCGCTCACAGCAACCACAAATTTTGTTGGGAAATTCACACAGAGTGTGCGTCGGATCGTTCAGGATGTGAAGGACGAGGGAGCGCCGAGTGGAATGACACGGGACGAGGTAATCGAAACCAATGAAAGGCTGCGCTCGCTCCGACTACGATTGGAGGAGTCCTACGAGACGGCCAAGAAGGCGCTCATTAACCTCATGAACAAATACGGCGACTCCAAAAGCCAGCGCAACATGTTCCAGCGCTATCCGATGCTCAAGTTGATGATTAAGGTTGGTTCACTCCACAATCGAGGTGATTCTGAACTAAATATTGAATACGTTTAGGAAGTCATTCGCCTGGAGACCCAGTACTGGACCCTGGTGGACATACCGCGTCAGGAGAAGCAGGAGACTGTGCCCTCGTACGTGATGCGCGCCTGTTCGATCATGGAGAAGACCCAGAAGTCAGGTGAGGGTGTGAAAACGTCGGCCAAACTAGCCGACGAGGCGGCCGAGCGGCGGGAGCGGATGGAGCGATTGGAACGTAAGTGAAATGAGCTAGAAACTGCCACCCATAATTAAGTGCATTCGCATACCGTCCTATCCGCAGACATGACAACGGCTCAAATCGAACTCGAGAACACACAGCTGATAAACGATTTGTATCGCTTGCTGAAAAAGTATCTGGGGCTGCGGCATCTCATCCGAGTACTAAAGGTAGGCGAAACGGAAACTGTCCGACCCCGTGGCAACTTTCCCTTTATCTAACCGTGTGCTTCTGTGTGACCAAACAGGAAGAGTACGGCAGCTCAAAGATGTATCCGATATTTCCACGCTACACAATGCTCAAGGACATGATAAAGGGCATCATGCACGACCCCGACTACATGGAGGTGTGTCACGAAACGCTGGCCAACGCCAACTGAGCCGAGGCCACCGGAAATGGCAGGCGTCGCATGAGTGTCATTTGAGAGGGGCCCAAAACTAATACAAATACAAACAGCAGCATACACAGGCGCAGGACCTAGTGGGAGCAGGATGGAGTCCAAGTACTGATCCGTGTGTATGCTGAATTCGCATGCGAGTTTCTGCCATTCCGGGATGATTTAGAAAATGTTAAGCAACTTCATTGAGGCTCCTTGCCCGCGAGTGTGTGCGGGCGAGTGAGTAAAACCAATCCTTTTCGGTAATTTTAGCCCATACTCAAAGGCAAACCAAGACAAACTAATCAAACAACTAACTAACAAACTACACCCGAACCCCACCACCTACCACTAACTACCACCAACTACCACCAACTACCACCAACTGAACATGTAACTATTTACACTACTCAACAATGAACAAACACTTGAATACTCTCCGGTACCAGAGTGCCAGCAAACAAACTAAAAGGCATTTATTTTAATGAACTTTTGAGATAAATACAAACAAACCAACAAGCAAACATACCTACAAGATGTCAAAACATCCGACAACATATATTGTATGTATATGTAATGATGAATTGAATAATTGAAAGAATCGCTCAAGATGTTACACGATGAAAAGCATTCTGAAGTAAAGCCTAACCGAAAATATGTGTGTAACTTGTGTGTAATAGGTACAGTAAACTGAAAATTATATACATATGTACAGATGTGTGTACCCCCCTATATGTAATAAGCAAGATATACATATGTATATGGGAAATAATACAGCTAACTACAGCAACAGCATGGATTGCAAGCTGGCTAATCAATTTCCGGATAGATTTAATCTTTGGTTCGGCTTGAATTGGCCTCAATTTTCTACTTTAAAGCGAACTGGTTGATTAGCCGCTGGCAGATTTTTTAACTGCATATATGTAGTTACAAAAATGTATTTAATTATATTATATATGAGTCCTATCCCTAGATATATATGTATTAGTTACCTAGTTAGACAATATGCGGGAAATATTCCCAATTGATGTGAGCGAGTACGATAGCTCGTTACACCTTTTAAGGCAACACCAATCCGTGGAGACATGGAGCAGCCAATATCCTAGATCTTAACGAATGTTAACTCTTGATTTTGTCGAATATTTTTAGTAAGAAGCAAATGCTTTTAGTGTGTATTAAACGTTCAGCTTTAAATCAGTCCTATGCAACTCGCAACGCAACCAAAAAACCCAGATACAATTACACAAATACTATATATGTATGTATATCCACATCTGCACACTCAGAGGCATTGCTTAATGTGTGCGCGAGTATTTTTAAGGTTTAACAGAGATAGACATATGTATGTGTATGTATTTATTTATGTGTTGTTGTAACTACCATGTGTGTAGCTTTGTAACACAATCCAATCCCTAACCAACCGAAGGACACAACGCAAACACTCGAGCACAAAAGACCAAAGAAAAACCTAGACGAGCTTACAACTTTATACGAGAGCTAGCAGTTCACAATTCACAATTTCCATTTGTTTTATTATTCGAGATGAAATCTGTTTTATTTTACTTGCACGAAAGCAGCAAAGTGTAAATTACACAAACTCGTTATGAACTGACACAGACAGAACCTAGAAGAAGATATTCTTTGCCAGAGCCACAACTAAAATGAGAACTACAACTACAATTCTGACACGCCCACCGATACACAGAGGATAATCCTAGCAATTTATACACACATATCTGTACAGTACATAAGCATGTATATCAGTATTACAGAATATCAGAGATGTACTTTCCCCTAAGTGGAAGTGAAATTGAGTGCATAAATTAGTCGAACAATTGTTTGCCTGTCTATTATACGCTTCACGGAGCTCAATTGCTGGTTAATTTATCCACTTTGTGACGGAGCATCCTTTTAATGACCTCCAACGATTTAAATTGCTTTAAAATATACCTGCCCTGCCCTGCCCCAGCGGCCTTTTGGGTCGGAAGTGTGTGGATGCTGACCACAGACAGACAGCCCATAGCAACAGCCAGTAAAACTAATTATGAAAAGTAAATCAAAAATAGATACATAATTCAATGTTGGGAAAAATAGCAAATTAATTAAATATGCAGAAAACCATATTAACTCAATTTCAATTAGATGGTTGAGCCTAAGCGACGACGAGTTCTGTTATTTGTGTAGTTAAATGTTGAGCATTCAATTTGTATTTGATAATAGCTAATGTAATATCGAATGGAGATAAATATGAATTAAAATGGCAATTGGTATATTGTATGCTTATTGATAAAAATATATTATCAAAGTACATAAATACACAATATATGTATGTACATGCAATTATAGCCAACTAATTGTAATGTGAAGCAGATCAGGAAATAATGTTATGAAACTTAATCAAAATCTATTAACAAATATTTGTACGGCTCTCCACAGCCCTGTGTATGTATGTGTGCGTGAATGTTACCATTGTAAGAGCATTGCAATATAGGATATATAGGATATAGAGACAACAGTTGGGCGATATTGATATTGATGCATACCTACAGAGACATACATATGAACTATAGTTATATACATACATACATACATACATAGAATATATGATAATGGTATTCTTATTATTATACAACTTATACACGAGATAACAAACATATACACTTCTACTCTACTGCATACCCAAATGGGGATAAGCATAACGATACATGGGCAGTCGGTAGTCCTACAAACAAAAAATCTTCGTACAATTTTACCTTTTCAACATCTCAGTGTCTAACAAAAACATTAAATGTAACTCCGCAAAGGAAGCTACCAATATATTGGATGTATAATTAAATATATGTATATGTGTCGAACCCGCTATAATATGAGCAAGTCGATAAATATATTGATATTCAAACGGATTGCACCTTTCGTTTATTTTCTCATAGAGTTTACCAGTTGATTTGGCTGGATCTAACTCCACTTATTACCGAATTCTATACCTAAGTAATCACTGAAATGTAGTAGTTAGGTGATATTTAGTTGGCCAAATTATGGATATATTTGTAGCTGTTGTTTCGTTGTCCGCTGTAAAGATTGAAACACACTCTAGGCTTTCATAGAGATTCGTTCATTTTGAAATTACTAAAAAGTTTGTTTAAAAATAAGGTCTTAGTCAAACAAAGGTCTAAGATAAAAATATTTATTTCGAATTAATTCTGCCAAGCAACATATTGACGCATGTGACGCTTGTACATTCACAGCATGTCAAAAGCAAAAGGATTTCCTCTTCCATATTTCCATATCGGTGGAAAAGAAATTAAAAAAAAACATTTTTCCTAGCTTTAAGCCTGCAAGCGAAGAAAAGAGTAAATATAATTTTCCAGAAAGTTTAATCGTTAAAGAAAAATAACACAAATAATCGAGAAATAAGAATTAACTTTGCAAATTGTTGTTACTTTTTGGCATGATTTTGATGCTTGCCAGCTGCCTCACCCTCTGAGGGATCCTCGGGCAGCGAGTCCACGGATATTGAAGTCCACCGACCACTCCGCCCAGCAACCAAAACACCTTTATTCGCTCGTCTAATCGGCTGCAATTTTATCCGGTAGCAGGGGACAACTAGAAGTGTTGCTACGAGTCAGATGAACTCTATTGCCTGAGAGGGGTAATTGGAGATTACGTTGCTCATACAGACACAAAGTACTCCCTCAAAGTAGCAATATTGAAGTCTTTATTTGAATGTTCACTATATATATTTTACAGTTTCAGATTGATAAGTTCAGTGGATTACATGGACTAAGTCCTGAACATATAACTGGCTTCGATAAAAACCAAGCCGAAAATTAGTCTATATAAGCTAGTTTGGCCGTTTCACAGCGCTCTCGCGGGCATTCCACTTCCTGTGCACAGCGCCCTCGGTGGCATCCCATTCCCATTTCGGCCGATGTGTTAAATTGGAAAGACACTCCTACTAAATCACAGGCCATCTGTATCACTCCTTTTACCTGCATAGACGCCAACCAGCCACCGTTAGCTGGAACTCCATCGACAAGAACTTCTTCACTTTTCATAAGTTTGTGCTTCTCCAAAAATTCAATAAGGCGTTGCTTTTGGTCTGCAGGCAGTTGAAGATAATCGGAATGCTGCTCATAAAACTTGGCAAGGCTCTCCAGATTGTTAAACTTTGTGGCAGTGTCCACTTCAGGATTATTGTAGATGTCAATCAATCGACGTGCCTCGCTCTTGAGCTCGCTATCATCTTGAGCGCACCCAATGGACGCCAGGCATAGAAGGACAGCCATCAGGGAACTAAAGGAGAACAATTTCATTAAACTGAGTATATTTTTTATTGTTACCACCACGAGTTTCACTTACACTAGGAGGATTGCGTTGGCCATTGTTTTATATGCGAGTAGTTGTCGAGATCGCGATCCAATCTGAATTAATAATTTCCTTAAGGCGGCACATCAATTTATATTGGCTGGCTCAGTGCATTGTGAATTCTTATCTCCTATTATATTTGGTCTGTTTTGCGATAATTGGGATAATGTTTTATATTTCTTTCCTAGAATCAAGACTCTTGACATTTCTACGAAAGAAATCTTAATCTATTTTCTGTGATCTTTAGAACCTACCGATTATATGTACAGACCAGGGGGGCAAGCCCCCTGAGCACTCGAACATTTGCCAACACACCGCGCTGCGGCGCCAAGGTGGGGCAAGGGCAGCAGTAGCAGCAGGAGGAGCAGGAGGAGCATGAGGAGCTGGGCGCTGTAGTGGCTGGACAGGAGCATGAAGCGGACAGCAACATGGAAGAACGAAGTTTGGTCGCTGCGATCGACGCCTGTGACACGGCGCTGACTAGGAAGATTAGGTATCATCGCCTGGGCATGTGCGAGCTGTATCAGAACCGCGTCGTCTGGCAGGTGGTGCGCAAGAATTGGCCCGAGGTCAAGACGGACTGCGCCAAGGCCCTGGCGTACAACTCTCGCAATGGCACGGTCTATTTGAGTCGGGCTCGTGCCCACGACGCCCCCGGTGACATACAGGAGTGCCTCAATGATCTGGCAGCCTTCCGCATCCTGATCCGCGACTGAACGATCGCCGATTGCAGCCCCGAGTACGAACGCATCGACAAATCTGGCAGCGCGTCCTCCTGAAGCGCGCCCGCTCCGAGGCCAGTCAGATCATGAGCCAACTCGTGAATGAACGCCTTCATCGCCGATCCCCTGCAGACGGGCAGCTTCGATCGATCGCTGACGGGAGGTGCTTCAGCGCTGCCCACTGGGCGTTCCGGGAGGAGCGCTTCGAAGATGTAATCTCTGCCTGCACGGAGGAGATCGAGTCTTCTGAGGACTGGGCCCAGCACAAGTCAGAGGCTCGGCTCATGCGCGGCACCTTCCACCTGCTGTGCGGCTCTTGAGCGGAGTGCCAGCAGGACTTCGATGCACTGATCGGCGATCCGCAGATTTATACCACATTGCGTGCCTATGCGCTGATTCGGAGCGCTGCCCTCCGCTTCCAGCTGTGGAGGGGGCACGAGGCGACGGACGCCTTCGAGCAGGCCGAGCGGCTGGTGCGCGACAATCCCGATGTGTACCACCAGAGCGGCCTGATCCTCAGCAAGCTACAGCACTTTGAGACCGCCCTGATGGACTTCAAAATGGCCGACCGAATTGCGCCCGAGTTCAAAATCTCTGTTTGATAGCACTACCTGATACCATTTTTCCGCTTTGTACCAAGCCTACTTTTTCTAATAGATTTGGGCCTTTTAAAATGGTTACTGACACTTTTATTACTTTCTATGCCACAATTTTTGAAAGAATTTAAAATGAAGTTACTATATTTTAATGCATTTTTACCGCTTCTTTTTCTGACATAACTTAAGTATCTTACATCTGGTTTCAATTATTTTTATCATTCTAAAAAAGCTAATATATGCAGTTATAAGTTGATTCTAATTACTTTGTGGTTTTCGCTATCGTCTTGGAAATATTAAGCTTTTAAATATAAAATATCTCATTTTTGTGCGTTAATTTTTTCAAAATGTTTATATGAAAAACTCAGCGAAGTAGAAAAAAAATTATTTCCTGTATCATTTTATTTTTGTATATATGTAGGTGTATTAGTTGAGCGTAGTTTAAAGTATTATTCATACAAATCTATGGATAAACGGCTGAGCTAAAAATGATTACCAACCCTCCGAAATTCACATTTTACAGCTTGGAACGCTTCTGGCCCAAAATTTTACTCAGAATCTACAGCGCAGATATCCACAAAATATTGTATGTTGACAAGAAAATTGTACCATCTTTCACAGGATTTTGAAGATTTATTTCGAATTTCGTGTACATGAAAGGTAAAACAGCTCTTAAAGCTTTAATGAAATTCAAAATTAACAGACTCGAAAGCTCGTCTTCTGCTATTTTAACAGAGCCGTAAAGCTATTCTGTATTTTACTTTACATGTATCGCCCGCTTTTAAATTCACAGCATGTCGAGAGAATTGTCCATATTTCCCTATCGGTGGAAAGGAAATTAAAAAAAAAAAACATTTTTCCCAGCTTAAAGCTTCCAAGCGAAGAAAAGAGTAAATATAATTTTCCAAAAAGTTTCATCGATAAAGAAAAAGCAAATATTCGAGAAGTTAGAATTAACTTTGCAAATTGTTGTTATTTTTTGGCATGATTTGGATGCTTGCCAGCTGCCTCACCCTCTGAGGGATCCTCGGGCAGCGAGTCCATGGATATTGAAGTCCCCCTACCACTCCGCCCACCAACCAAATCACCTTCACTCGCTCGTCTGATCGGTTGCCATTTTATCCGGTAACAGGGGACAACTAGAAGTGTTGCTTCGAGTCTGATGAACTCTAATGCCTGGGAGGGGTAATTGTGGATGTTGTTTCATTAGATGAAATATCACGCGAACCAGCGCTAGAGTAGCCTATGATTTCAACGGCGGAAACAAGATTCCCAATCGTGTTGTTTTAGGGGAAAGAAAGTTTGACGTTGCTCATTCCAATACAGACACAAAGTACTTCCTCAAAGTAGTGTTATTGAAGTCTTTATTTGAATGTTCAGTATATATATTTTACAGTTTCAGATTGATAAGTTCAGTGGATTACATGAACTAAGTCCTGAACATATAACTGGCTTCGATAAAAACTAAGCCGAAAATTAGTCTATATAAGCTAGTTTGGCCGTTTCACAGCGCTCTCGCGGGCATTCCACTTCCTGTGCACAGCGCGTCGGTGGCATCCCATTCCCATTTCGGCCGATGTGTTAAATTGGAATCACTAAATCACTAATCACTAAATCACTACTAAATCACAGGCCATCTGTATCACTCCTTTTACCTGCATAGACGCCAACCAGCCACCGTCAGCTGGAACTCCATCGACAAGAACTTCTTCACTTTTCATAAGTTTGTACTTCTCCAAAAATTCAATAAGGCGTTGCTTTTGGTCTGCAGGCAGTTGAAGATAATCGGAATGCTGCTCATAAAACTTGGCAAGGCTCTCCAGATTGTTAAACTTTGTGGCAGTGTCCACTTCAGGATTATTGTAGATGTCAATCAAACGACGTGCCTCGCTCTTGAGCTCGCTATCATCTTGAGCGCACCCAATGGACGCCAGGCATAGAAGGACAGCCATCAGGGAACTAAAGGAGAACAATTTCATTAAACTGAGTATATTTTTTATTGTTACCACCACGAGTTTCACTTACACTAGGAGGATTGCGTTGGCCATTGTTTTATATGCGAGTAGTTGTCGAGATCGCGATCCAATCTGAATTAATAATTTCCTTAAGGCGGCACATCAATTTATATTGGCTGGCTCAGTGCATTGTGAATTCTTATCTCCTATTATATTTGGTCTGTTTTGCGATAATTGGGATAATGTTTTATAATTCTTTCCTAGAATCAAGACTCTTGACATTTCTACGAAAGAAATCTTAATCTATTTTCTGTGATCTTTAGAACCTACCGATTATATGTACACACCAGGGGGCAAGCCCCCTGCGCACTCGAACGTTTGCCAACCCCTTCTCAGTGACGTGGTAAGCCGTGTGGTGGCATGCCTGGCAAATCTGTTGAGTTCAAAATCTCTGTTTGATAGCACTACCGATACCATTTTGTACCAAACCTACTTTTTTTAATAGATTTGGGCCTTTTAAAATGCTTACTGACTTTTTTATCACTTTCTATTCCAGAATTTTTGAAAGAATTTAAAATGAAGTTTCTATATTTTAATGCATTTTTACCGCTTCTTTTTCTGACATAACTTAAGTATCTTACATCTGGTTTCAATTATTTTTATCATTCTAAAAAAGCTAATATATGCAGTTATAAGTTGATTCTAATTACTTTGTGGTTTTCGCTATCGTCTTGGAAATATTAAGCTTTTAAATATAAAATATATCATTTTTGTGCGTTAATTTTTTCAAAATGTTTATATGAAAAACTCAGCGAAGTAGAAAAAAAATTATTTCCTGTGTCATTTTATTTTTGTATATAGGTGTATTAGTTGAGCGTAGTTTAAAGTATTATTCATACAAATCTATGGATAAACGGCTGAGCTAAAAATGATTACCAACCCTCCGAAATTCACATTTTACAGCTTGGAACGCTTCTGGCCCAACATTTTACTCAGAATCTACAGCGCAGATATCCACAAAATATTATAGGTTGACAAGAAAATTGTACCATCTTTCACAGGATTTTGAAGATTTATTTCGAATTTCGTGTACATGAAAGGTAAAACAGCTCTTAAAGCTTTAATGAAATTCAAAATTAACAGACTCGAAAGCTCGTCTTCTGCTATTTTAACAGAGCCGTAAAGCTATTCTGTATTTTACTTTACATGTATCGCCCGCTTTTAAATTCACAGCATGTCGAGAGAATTGTCCATATTTCCCTATCGGTGGAAAGGAAATTAAAAAAAAAAACATTTTTCCCAGCTTAAAGCTTCCAAGCGAAGAAAAGAGTAAATATAATTTTCCAGAAAGTTTAATCATTAAAGAAAAAACAAATAATCGAGACATTAGAACTAACTTTTCAAATTGTTGTTACTTTTTTGCATGATTTGGATGCTTGTCAGCTGCCTCACCCTCTGAGGGATCCTCGGGCAGCGAGTCCACGGATATTGAAGAGCCCTTTGACTTTGAGCTGGCTGTCGAGCGCGAAGAGTTCTTCGGGTACTTAACCGCCTTGGTATTTCCGGAGCATTGTATTATGAAGCGAATCTCGTCGATTAGCTCGGACTTGAAATTCACCTGAGAAGTAGATGCAAATCGATGTGAGTTATAGCGCATGCAATAGTTGGAACTATCACAAGCAAATAGGAGAAAGTGAAGTTGATACTGATGGAAGCTTGGTTAATAATTGATGCAGGTGCAGAGATTAGAATAATACTTTGGACAGATGAGAGGTCAGCTGTATGGCCCCTAGTTGACGCTGTGGGGAGCTAAAACATATCCGTTATTTAGATGAAAGGCGACCTTTTCATGGCCATTTTTAGTCACTTTAGTCACGACACATATGGGTCCACTCCACCTTCAGAGTGTTAATATTTTTAGAGCATCGTCCAGTTTACCT